ACCATGAGTACCAACATGTAAGATACTGGTAAGCCACGAGCCATGTGACAAGGTATAGATTTATAGAAATGGGTTAATTTAAGATGTGAGAACTAGATAGCTAAAAGCCTGAGCCATTAGGCCAAACAGTTTAAATAATATAAGCGTCTGTGTGTTTATTTTGTAAGTGAACTGCTGGACTGCCGGGGCTTGGTGGGAGAATTTCTCCAGCTACAATCTTGTACAAATATTTCCATCCCATTCTGCTTCCTTGTACCCAAATCACAGAAAGCAATGTGATATCAAAGTCCTGTGAAACTTAGGAGAGGTGCTTGAATGATGTTGAATTCCTCAACAGTAATTTTCCAAAATTGATTTTTAAAATATGTGATAAGATCATCCAAAAGATGTGATCATTAAGGATTTCATGATAGAATCATGATAGAACAATAAGGAGTCATACCATCACAGAAAAACAATGCGTCATCCTGTCCATCCTGTCTTATTTAGGGTTCCATGAACAATAGAGTTTGTGATAAGTAAAATGGTCCATCGGGATTGGACAGTGTTGACTCATGAAAAAGCTTCTTTCTCTCTCTCTCTCTTTCTCTCTCTCTCTCCTCTCTCTCTCTCCTCTCTCTCTCTCTCTCTCTCTCTCTCTGTGTGTCTGTTCTCTCTCCTTGACAGAGGGTCTCTCTCTCTCTCTCCTCTCTCTCTCTCTCTCTCTCTCTCTCTCTCTCTCTCTCTCTCTCTCTGTGTCTGTCTCTCTCCTTGACAGAGGGTCTCTCTCTCTCTCTCTCTCTCCTCTCTCTCTCTCTCTCTCTCCTCTCTCTCTCTCTCTCTCTCTCTCTCTGTGTGTGTGTGTGTGTGTGTGTGTGTGTCTCTCTCTCTGTCTCTCTCCTTGACAGAGGGTCTCTCTCTGTCTCCCTAACTGTCTTGTATGTAGACCAGGCTGGACTCAAACTCATAGATGTCTGCTTGCCTCTTTTCTTTTCTCTTTTTCTTTTCTTCCTTCCTCCCCCCCCCTCTTTCTTTTTTGTTTTGTACTGTGTTCCTTTTTGAATTTATATATCCAAGGAAAAATAATCCTGAAAAACTTAAAGAACTCAAGACGACTCTCTTTCAGATTCCAGGAGAAATTAAGCACGAGGCTGTGGGGAGTGTGTTAAGGAGGTGCTGTGAAAACCCCCATTTCCACTGCACAAAACGGATAGGAACCTGCGCTCCTCCCAAGACTCAGGTCGGTATCTTAAGACTACAACAAGAAATTAAATTGTGTGCAAAGTTGTTTACAGGTAAATTATGTCATTATTCATCAACAAGCATTAATTGAACTACAACCATCCCCAAGTCATAGCTTAATACATGAGGCTTCAGGATGTTAAGTATGATTCATTCTGGAATGAGAGATGTCAGGGCTGAATCTCAGTACAATTATCCTAGATTTAAAGTGTTAGATTTTCTTCTTTTACTGTTTTTGTATTTGGGGAAGATGAGAAAGAGAAACCCAATAAGAAAGAAAGTAAGAAGGTCCAGGAGGCATCCTGCAAAGGAGCCAGTGTAAGGAATGGTTGGAGCTAAAGGGACTCAGATACATAGTAATTAGATTTGTAGAAGAAAAAAAAGAAGGCGAGTGTTAAAAGTTGGTAATGAATGATTTAACATTTTTTGTTTTTTAAAAAATCACAAACCTATTCTAAAACCTGCCAGCAGAGGTCGCCATGCTAGGTGAGTTTGCTTTGCTGCCCTGGTTCTTGTCGTTTATTGGACAACATTCCCTTTATCTGGGGCTGAAAAGGGGTGGGGTTAATAACGCACCTCTTGGCAGTAATAAATTGCACTAAATATGCGTAAGGGGGAAGGTGTAGGTGTACCCATGCAGGCTGTCTCCAGAGCGCTCCTACCCAGCTGAACGCGTGTGCCCAGACAAATATGTATCATGATGAAAATGCCTATTTTACTCAATTCCCCTTAGAGATTCAAAACCCGGCCTCGCCTTTGCATCTGAATTTGGCTGAATTTGTGAGAGAATATTTCTGTAAGAGGTATGAATAGACGTTGACGCGAAATTAATAGAATGTGGGAAAGAGAAAGGTCTCTCCATTTATGAATTCTTTTTCCTCAGAGGTTTAGTTTTTAATTTGCACATATTTGAAATGCTTAAACTTTTTAGAGTATTCCTAAAGTTAATGGATGTGCTAAGAGTTGGATTTTCAAAATGCTTTATCGATAACCTGTTTTCAAGAACCAAGAAGGGGGAAATTTACTAAAAAAAAAGAAACTGAAGGGCTAGTCGGCGTTTGCGTCTCCAAAATTCCTACAGAGGGCGCTGTTGCCCGTTCAATGAAAGAGGGAATGCTCCCCCGGAGAGGTTTGTCGAGAAATAGCTGGAATTTTTTTTTTTTTTTAAACAAAATGGCACATCTCAGAATTAACAAGGGTTTTCTATTAGCATTATACATTTCTTCGAGTAGTTTGTCATGTATGTATGTATGTGTGCAAATACTTTGTTTGTTTTATTCTTAATAAAACCAGATTTATATGTAATGTTTTGTAAAGAACTCAGATAATTTTTGACAAACACCAAGTACATTCCTGCTTTAGAAAATCTAATATTAGAATAAAATAAAACAAAAATGAAAATTTGAGATTCTACATAGATGAGGCTACAAAATAATCAAACTAGCACAATGTACTATCTGTTTAAATAGTTTCACATGTAAAATTATACCTTAGGTTTGGTTTGGGTTTTATTAAACCCTCGGGTTTATTTCATATTAATCAATGATATGTCCAAAAGTGATGTAAAGCATAAACACATTTAGAGAAAAAAATAAGTTTTTCTAAGTGTTTTTTTTTTTGGGGGGGGGGAGTGTTGGGTTGAGGTTATCTATAATTAAGAGCTAGCAGTTTGAATGTTTTGAAAGGGAGATGAGAATTATTCTCGTTTATAAGTTCGTGTCTTGAGGATTTTAATTTCCAAATCTATAATGCCTATCTTTCAAAGTACCAACCAAGGGGCCGTATTCAGTTCTGCAGGGGAGGTGTGGGACCCACGTTAAGTCCTTCCACACGATGACATCAAGAAGGATGATTTCCTGTCTCCTAACCTGCTCTGGTGGGGAAAGGGGACATGTCTGCTGGCGCCGGAGGACTAGCCTGGTTTTGTGGTTTAAGATGCTAATTTTTTGAAGGTGAAGGAAGACGGGGAGGAAAGAAGGAGAAGGGGAAGGAAGGGAAGAATAAAAGGGGGATGAGCGAAAGAGAAAGAAAGAAAAGTGGGGGAGAGAAGGGGGAGGGACGCAAGGTTGGGAAGAAGGCGGAAAGAAATCCAGCAGGCAATAGAGAAAGGGCGAGTTCCTCAAGTTCTGTCTGAAGCACCCAGCGTTCCCTTCATTCGGCTTACGGTAAATTAAAAACGGTGATAGGAACAGCAACAACAATAATTGATTTGCAGAACTGTTCGTTGGGCGAGGAAGGAGTCCTCAGTCTCTTAGGAAACCGCTGTCTTCCTGGGCTGAACGGAGCCCTCTGCTTGCGGAGCTTCCGACCCTGCCGGAGCCCTGAAGTGCACAGGAGTCCTGGGTCTAAAGACAATCGCCCTTTACAGATTCACTCTCATCAGGTTTAATAACTTCCACCCCAAATTACCCCAACCCTCCTCATTCCCTTCTGTCATTTATTTTCTGCCCTAGGGGCCAAGATCTTCTTCAATGCCTCCCTTCTGGCTCCAGGGAACCTTCCGCACCCAGAAAGAGAGTTGGAGAACAACAGAGGGTGTGAGAAGGCTGGGACGAGGGAGAGCGAGCGAGTCAATATAGAATTTCTGGTGAAATTAAAAACAAAAACAAAATAAAATAAAATAAAACCCTGTGTCTTTCAAGGCACCCATTTGAGGCTAGCTTAACTTTGTCCTTACTATTATTTATGCCTTTTTAAAAAAACTAAACAACTACACAAATTACAGATTCAAAAGAAAATCTACCCCCAAACCGACCTGACCAGACAAAATGATCTCTTGTACATTTCAAACTATCTTCTTAAAGAGCATAAAGCTTAAACCTTCCCATAGATTCTGCTGTGCGTTTTTGAATCTACCAGGTTAAAATAAAAAATTGCACACAACAAACACAATATGAAATGTCCTACACTTTTGTTTAAAGTCTCAAAATCAATGTTGTGGGCTTTGTTGCTTCCAGCCTGTGGAGAAAAACAAAACAAAACAAAACAAAAAAACTTGATAAAATGGAGACTCCAGGCAAACAGAAAGACACATAGGATCCACTGAAAATACACAACCATTCCAAAGCAACAAGCAATATAGACTGTAGGGTCCACAACATATTCAAGTTACCAAATGTGTTAGGCAAAATGAACAAAAATATCAGAAATCATAGCGGTAAATAGTTTTTTGATGTTGCTAATATACAATGATACTGTGATTTTTAAAATTTGTACAGCTATCAATATGGAAAAATAGCTCTTAAAATCACAGAATCTAGTTGTTTGTTTGTTTTATAAATACTCTCCTGAGCATACAGCAATAAGAAATTTGTGTTTTAAAATCTCAATAATGGTCTCCCTTTTAAAAACTCTGTAGAAAATTAGAGGCTGATGTCCCCAGTTTCTCGTTATCAGTTGTTAAAAGACTCTAGTTACTAGCTTCAATGATTCACTATTTTCCAAATAGAGATTTTTTTTTTAGTGTATCTATTTATATTACTCGTTTTGAACAACTATGTTCCCTTTTAAATGCACGTTTAGTTTGTGGATTCTGTGACCCAGAGGTGTTTATGTAACTAAATGTGGGTATCTGCGCGTAAATTCGCGGTTTATGATTTTTTATAATATATATGTGCGTGTGTGTGTGTGTGTGTGTGTGTGTGTGTGTGTGTGTGTGTGTGTGTAGTGTGTGTGCGCGCGGCGTTGTATCTAAGTCCTGTGTGCAATAATGTTTTTCTGTCTGCTGAGGCTTACTTCCCCAGCCTATTGTTTGAGACAACAGATATAAGTTGCGATGGGAGAGGAGCGTCGGATTTGGTGTGTATCCCCCCATTTCCAATTATAGATGGATCATTACAGACAGCGGAGTCCTGAGAAGCCAGACATCTGCTCCTCACATGAATGCACTCACCTCCTAGAGACCAGGCTGCCATCATGCTCTGGAAACTCGTGGAGAATGTCAAGTACGAAGACATCTATGAGGTGAGCGGACACCCCCAGATGCATTTTTGAGCTTTGTACATAGAAAAGTGGAGCTTCTTGGCACCCCAGTTGACATATTTTTAAGCTATTTGCTCGTAGATTTCCGTTCGGGTTTCTGAGGTTTCTTTAAGTTTTCTGAGTCTGGCTCTAGGAGACTTCGCTCTCCTGAAGGGGGACTTTTAAGGTTGGAATCTGGCAACTTTAATTTAGGAACTATTTTTCTTTTCTTCTCTTTCTTTCTCTCCGGCTCTCTCCTCCCCCTCCTTGTAGGCTCTAATGGGGAACGTGGCGCCACTGAATTTAGGTAGACAGTCGGAGAAAAACATTCTCTCCTCATTTTGAGTTCGGGAGAGAATCGGGTTTTCAAGCTTCACTTCGACTCGGGCTTTGGATTTTTTTTAATTTTTATTTTTTCGTACTTTTAATAAATTTTGTGAAATCGGTAACTAGCGGATCCAGGTGGAGGGCGAGAGAGAGGAAAGGACCAGTGTATGAACAGATAGAGTGCAGTATGGGGAGAGGGCGCGGCTTGTTATTTTTATTTTCTTGTGTTTTGCTTCTTTGCGGGTCAGTGGGTCCGAGCAGAGATGGCAGCCGCCAGCGTGTGGGGCATTTTTAACGAAGTCTGCCCACAGTTGGTGCACCAGGCCAACAGTACCCAGGAGAGTGCGTCCCTCCCCGGGCTTTGCCCTCCGCCTCCCGGGACTCCCGCCGGTCGCTTCCGGAGTCCGCGTCGAGCGAGGCTGTAGGCATTGCCGGGTGCCCCTGCAGCTCGCTGGCGGGCGAGGCGAGGAGTCCCGGGCCGGGGACGGATGCGGAAACCCGCACCACAGTCCCGGAGCTGGGGAGACCCCCCCAGTTGAGCTCGAAAGGAAAGGAAGCAAGGCTCAAAAGGGCCGTCGAGGGAGGGAAGAATGGCTCTGAAGCTTCGGGAAAAGCTTTTCGAGATCCGAAAGAAAGCGACAGGGAGTTAGCGCAGCAGGGAGGCAGAGGCGACCAGGAAAAGTTGGAGAGCAGAAGGCTGAGACGAGGAGACCCGGGCCCCCGGCACTGGGCTGGACCACCGGACCGAGGTGGGCATCTCAGGCTCGCGAACCGGCCGGGAAAGAAACCGGAGCCCTGAGCCGGGAGCTCTGTAGGGACTAGGGGCGAGCGCTCGGCGGTGGTTCGCCTGGTCCAACCAAGGGGAGTCTGGAGGCTGTCGCCAGCTTTTTCCCCCACCCCACCCTGCTGGCCCGGTCCGCCGGAGTGACCGCGACTCCTTAGGGTGCCTGGCAAGAGTTCCTCCAGCCAGTACCCGGTGTGCCCCAGCCCCGCCGTTCCGAAGACCTCCTTTTGGAGGTAAATGAGAAAGTGAAGGAGAAAAGAAAGAGGAAAGGGAGTCCAGAAGAAGATGGGAGGAGGAAGGAGAGAGAGAGAGAGAGAGAGAGAGAGAGAGAAGGAGAGAGAGAGAGAGAGGAGAGAGAGAAGAGAGAGAAGAAGAGAAGAGAGAAGAGAGAAGAGAGAAGAGAGAGAGAGAGAAGAGAGAAGAGAGAGAGAGAGAGAAGAGGAGAAGAGAGAAGAGAGAAGAGAGAAGAGAGAAGAGAGAGAGAAGAGAGAAGAGTGATTTTCTTCTTTCGGGGTGACTCCGGGTTCGTCCTCCTCTTTGTGGGTTGTGGACTGACTGTACTGAGGGGACCGTGTCTGCCCCGCCTGGCAGGGTTTGTTTCGCTCCGGCCTCCCTTTCTTTTTCCTAACAGGCGGGATTGTGTTCAAGTCCGGGGCGTTAAACTAGCCTAAAGAACACATCACCCATAGCAAACGCGACCCTGGCGGAGCTGGGGCTGTGGTGGAAATAGCTCTGGGTATACATACATAGAGGGATTAAAGTAATCAGAGGGATGCTGGTTCTTTGCTTAGGAAAAAATAAACGGCTAAATGGGGAGAGGAGGGGGGAGTGGGGAAGGAGTGGGGGAGAGTAAAAGTGGGAAGGAAGAAGAGAGAGAGGGGAGGGAGAGAAGAGAGGAGAGGGGGTGCAGGAGAGAGAAGGAGGGGGGGGGCGAGAGAAGGAGGGAAAGAGGGGGGTAGGAGAGGGAGAGGAGAGGAGAGAAAGCCAAGTCGAGGGAGGAGGAGAGAGCGAATTACTCCAGGGCTGCCCAAATTTTCAGCTGAGAAGCCAGGAGAACCCGCACACAGCGTGGTGGAAGGAGCCTGCTTCAGTCTGGGGCTACGGTTGAAGTTTAACAGAAGTTAAACTGGCAGTCAGGCCAGTTGAACGGGTTCCTGAAACATCCCAAAAGATTTTTCTGTTGCCCCTGGCTTTGCCTGGAAAGGATACCTTTAGAGTACTTTGAAGATCGAGTGCATATATTTTAAATCTCGGTTTAAAAAAAAAATTGCAGGCTGTAAGCACTGAAGAGGAAAAGGCTGTACTATGTTAAGAAAAAAGTCTCTCCTAGGTCCTGAAAGAAAGAAAGAAAGAAAGAAAGAAAGGAAAGAAAGAAAGAAAGAAAGAAAGAAAGAAAGAGAGAGAGAAAAGAAAAAGGCTAGATCTTCTGCATTCAGAAAAAGTCCGTGTAGCTCCCAGTAAACAAACAGGGCCCACCCCATTTACTTTTCTCTCCCCTCCAGATGACCAGGCAGTGTCTTTCTAGTTTGGGTTTTAATATGCACACCAAGCACCCAGGGCAACCACCTCCTCCCCGTTGGGAAAGTCTCTCTCTATACACAAGAACACCTACAATCTCTGGGAGCCCCCACACTGCTCCCCCACACCTGCCGAATCCAAAGAGCAGAGGCTGCCTTACAGAGCGAGAGCGGGCGTCCCAGTTCAGTTAATTGAAGTTCTGCCTCTTTCCTGCTAAACTTTTCCCCCAGTCTGCCTCCGCCAGCCCCCTCGTCTGATTACATCTAGTAATTCTCCACTGAATGAACGTCATTTACAATAGTGGAGGAGCTCTGAGCTCGCCGCCGCTTCACGCTCCATTTGCCCTCCATTCTCCCTTTAAAGTGCTCGTGTAATATTAATAGTCATGAATATCAATTATTATGAGGCGGTGTAGGCAAGCGGAGGGAGGAAGGGGCGCGCCCGAGCAGTCTGAGCCCAGCTTCGGGTGGAAGAGGTCTGTATCTGGTCTGTATCTGGAGCCCCAAAGAACCCGGCGAAGAAAAGAGCGCCAAAAAAGACGGTGAGAGACAGATGAACCGTTCTGCCTGTCTGTGATAGGCACCTCCAATCTTCTTGGAGGGGGATTTTTTTTTTTTTTTTTTTTTTGATGGCTTGTCCTGGATACACCACAAGCTCAGCTCTTGTGTCCAGCTTGCTTCTCTGCTGGACTTTTTGATTTTTTGAAAATTCATTGTTTGATTTTGAGCAGTAACCAGGCTTTTTTTTTCCAGATGTTAGTCCACACCTATTCATCCATGGTGAGTTCGGATTCCCGTTGTACCAGAAGTGCATGCCCTTCTCCTCTCACTGTCTCTCCGTCTCTGCATCTCTGTGTGTGTGCGCGCGTGTGTCTGTCTCTCTGTCTTCCTCTGAGTGCCTTTGGCTTGGTAATTTAGCACCATAATTGGACGAGGCTGCAGCTGCTTCTCTCTGCATTGTGTGTTCCCTGTCTGAGCTCCCCGAGAGTCAGCTGGGAGGGGGGGGTGAGGCTGAACCGAAAAAACTTTTGTCATTGCAGTTTGGAAATTTAGGTGGCTGTTTTCTACAGAAAGAACCTGGGGGGACTTTACCCCTCGCCATTTCCACAAAGGATGGGGTGAAAGTTAAAAGTGTCCATCACTTCCCCCTTCTCCTTTCACTTGGCTTATACTCCGGAGAGGAGGGGAAAAGAGATGTGGGGGTTATCTCTTCACCTCCCAGCTTCAGCTCCTTCTTTTAACACCCCTGAGTCTAATAGCATGCGATATGGAAAGCAAGCTCAGAAACTCCTGCAAACCACAACTCAATTTACCATGGGCTTAGGGTGTGATTGCAGAGGAGATCCGTTTCAATCAAACACTAAGTTATTTAATTCCTCTTGGGGAGGGAGGGGGTGGCTGGAAGCTCAGATCAGGCAGAAGCCTCCCTGCTCTGGGAATCTCCGGCTTGTGTGAGCCCCGGGGCCAGCCAGCTACCTGCCAGTGAAGGCACCAGTGGGTTTTTTTTTTTTTCCCCCAACCAGAGCAGTGCTACAGCTATTAGCAAGGTTC